ACCCACCGTAACCGAAGAAACTGTCCGTGCGAATTCGATGCGATGTCCATTTTCGGTGATAAATCCTCTGACAATTGCCCCTTATTTACCTACTGAGTACCTATTAACCACATAGGGAGGCTTTGTCTTTGGTAAAATTCGATATTCCTGATCAGCATGTCAGATTTATGGAAATTCACGACCAAATTAAGGGCCGGGTGACCGAACAGCCGAACGGCGCCTGTTATTTATGACGCAACGACACGCGAGACGACGTTATAGTAGCGCGGTTAGTGCGTGGAGCTTTGTTGCTTGAAACTTTTAAAATCATCAAGTTCAATCTCAAGAACTTTTCTTGAACGTATATGATAAAATCTTTTCTCTTTGCAAGCGAGAATTAACATGTTGAATATTGATCTGTTTTTTAATTGTCGAATCGCTTTGTTTCTTCATTTTCCTTCGCGTAGATGTCTTGTAAATGCTACCACGGTTAACTAACTTATTTTCCAGCATAATGGCAGGAGGAATGCACTTTCTGATTGGCATTGCCACAGACGAATATGTCATACTTGCCAGTGACAAGGCAACATTCGCTTATGGAGCAGTATTGGCGGATGACAGTGAGTTTTGGAACGATCTTAGCGAAGTTAGAAAGCCAATTATGCCTACGGCAAGCTCTCATTGTTTTGAGTTTCTCATATCTATCCATTTCGTACTTGTGGTTTTGGGTCCCATGCCTGATCGTGGGTTTGGCGGTTGAAAAGTTTACTGTATATAGACTATTGTGATCTTCTTGGAAACAGAATTGAGGTGTTAATCAGGTGCTCAAACATTCAACGATTTTCTACAGATAATGACAAGGAGTATCGCCTGGGAAAGAAGCTGACCATGATGTGCATAGGTGAGGAAGGCGATGTTGCACAGTTTGGAGATTGGACTAAGCGTAACATTCAGCTTTATGCTATTCGCAATGGTAAGCCATCGTTCCTTTGCTGACGAAAAAACATCAAATGGTTTTATTCAAGGTTACGAGTTATCTCCGAAGAGTGCTCATCACTGGATTCGGCGCGGCATTGCCGAGGCTCTAAGAACAGAAGATTATTACGCCGTTGATGTCCTTCTTGGCGGGTTAGTTGTAATACGGTCATGATTCTTCACTTTTACTTGGGT